GAGGCTTTGGTTACGTCACATCTGCTGATACTGTACCCAAAGGTGTGGCACGGCTGGACCCCAGTCAAGGGCCAGGAAAGTACCCTTCTGTGGTGAGGAGGGGGCTACCAGGCTGCGAGGCAGAGTGGTGGATATGGAGAGGTGCAGAGTGGGAACTAGTTACTTGAACTGCCAGAGTCCTGGTGGGGGGTGAGGGGCAGGATGTGCTGTGCTGACGGAGGATTTGTGTAGCTGACCGACGCGCGCCTGGTCACCTTCTTTCTCATCGTATCCAGCCTGCCTTCCCGTGGTAGAAATAACATTTCTGGCTTGGTCTGTGACTGTATTTCCCCACCAAGGCTTTCCCAGCTCCCTTACAATCAGGTAAGGCGATTTAACTGAAGGTCTGGGTAGAGATGTGAGTGGAAATGAGTTAATGGACTTCCGCCCTTAAAGGGAGGAGATTCATGTCGTGTCTTCCTAGAGCCTGCGGTGGGGATTGTGGGGTGGCTGATCCCGCCGGCCCGCAAAAGCCTGGGTTGTAGCCAAGGGACGGCAGAGCAGCAAGTCAGCGGGAGCTGCTGTGTCCTCATAGATGCAAGGGAGAGAAGCCTCCATCTGTTTCAGTCTGTGGGTATTCCGAGTCTTCATTTCAGCAGCCAAGTCCGTAACTAATACAAATTGACAGGAACTGCTACTTCAATATCTAAGCGCGGGTGTAACCCAGAAAGAGGTACAACTTTTGTTTTTCTTTCAGCATTTACTGGCCTGTGGGAGCACAGATACCACAATTCTAGTGTTTTCCCGCATCAGCCCTCTCCAGTATTTGGAAAAGAAGTGTTCTCGGCGAGATAATTGACAGAGCAGTCTCCCTCTGGTGAGGGCCAAGCGATGGCGGGTGGTTCTTTAGGTGGGGGTGTGGGGAAAGGAGAGCTGTCTGCCTCTTGTCTGAGTACATCTCACAGCTAGGCAGAGGGTGAGACTCAAGCCCGGGCTCGCTGGGCTCCACTCACTCATCCTGCATTAGACCTGAGGGCTCGGCCACTTGAGAGCCCAGGGCGGTTTCTCCAAACCAGACCTCTCCGGACATCGATGGCCACGGCAGCCAGACTCCCGCTACTTCCTGACGGTGAAAGGACTGCTGTAGCGCTTTTATCTAAAGCCCGCAGGACTGGCTTCCTGTACTGTCTCCCAGCTTCTGTTAAAAAGAGAGGGCACTCTTGGTGCCTTGGCTGATTTCTTTTATGGCCAAGGGGAACGAAAGACAATGCAAAAAGCCCAGGCTGCTGGTAAAGTCGCTGTACAAGCATGGGGGACAGCATGGCAGAGGAGGCAAGGTGCCTCGGATTCAAGCCCCAGTTCCTGGGATGATAACTTTCCCATCTGCTCTTCAGTTCCATCAGATTCCTAACCAGTGGATGCCACCACGGCTACTGTGGAGCATGTGGGAGTCGTTTATGTTGTGCCTGGCCCTGCACCTTTGCTCCATGGCACAGGAGCTGATTTTTAAGAATCTTCTAACTCCCTGCAGCTTCCAGCAGTGATTTAGTGGAGCACTGTGCATGATGATTAAATGATACAGCCAGCTTTGGCGGCAGATATTGGAAGACTGGCCAAGGGACAATTCTCTGTTCCTGGCCCAGGGGGCTAAATCAAGACCCCAAATCAAGCCACTTAATGAGCTGCCTGGATGAATCGTTGGAAGACGCCAGGGTGCACAGCGATCACTGCCTTGCAGATTCGAGGCTAATGAGTCCTTGGAGAGGACTGGGGTCTGGGATACAATCCTGGCCGTGGCATGCAGGGCTGACTGGGAGAGCTCATTCATGGCCTCACTTTCTGAAACATGCAAAATCGTGGGCATGCTTTGAGCCCTCAAGGCCGCTTCCCTCTGGCCCTTTGGCCACCTGGTATACCAAGGCAGGGTGCGTACTTGTTTGAACAAGAACATGTGAGAGAGGAAGGAGATTGGCTAAGTGGAGCAAAATGTTGTCAACATCTGCTTTGTGATTTAGAAGATAAATATGAAGGTGTGCCATTAAGTGATTCTTCCCAGGGAAATGGAGTAATTGGAGGAAAACCTCTTAGATTGCAAAGTTTGCCCATATTTCTAAACCTGTTGAGTATGATAAGAAATGAGACTTCTCATTACAGCGACTTAGAACAAGCCTCTAAAGCTTTCCCTGACTCTGGACCCTATTTTGGTAAACAGAATGGATTAGGTTTACCATCTGACTCTCTTCTCTATCTTCCATTCATTTGAATTGTAGTTTTCCTTGGTATCCATGGGTTCCACATCTGTGTAATTCAACCAACTGTGGATTGGAGAAAAATAGTGTCTACAGTGAACGTGTACAGACTTTGTTCTTGTCATTCTCTAAATAATACAGTATAACAAATACTTACATAACATACTAGGTATAAGTAATTTAGAATATGGGAGGATGAGCCTGTGTTGTTGGCAAATCCTATGCCGTTTTACATATATAAAGGACTTGAGCATCCTTAGAGTTTGGTATCTATCACAGGTCCTGAAGTATGGTGGTGTATATCTAATATACCAAAACAGATTGTTAGCAACATGGGTTTCTTAATTTCTTTTGCTTGGCTTTTCTCACTTTTCAGTTCTTTTAAATTTTCCCAACTGACCAGCCACATTAGCCTTTCTCTTTTGAGTTAGTTTTAAGCGTTTAAGCACGGCTGTAGGTCGTGTAGTCCAGGGAGGGAATTTCCCTCTGTGTCACACAGAGAACTTGGTGTAAGCTTTTGGCGTGGAAGGAGGGAGGAATCAGGCAGGTGTGCTGGGAAGTGATTCCCATAAGAAGTGATGCTTGAGCTGTCTTAAAGGTGGCACTTCCCAGGTAAAGGAGGTGGTGAGTGAATCCGGGTGGAGCGTGGAGGTGAGACAGCGTGGTGAAAGGTGCAGGTGATGCGGTTTTCCTGGAGCACGTGGGCAAGGGAGGGCTGAAGGTGGAGCTGGGAATCGGACCCCAGTGCCCTTCCATGTGCATTACCCTGGCAACTGGGATGGTGGGGGAAGATTTTAAGGTAGAGGAGAAGGGAAAGATGGACTTGGATTTGAGGGGCCTAAGAATAGAGAACTAAGCCAGGCATAGTACATGCCTGTAGTCCCAGGCATCTGGGAGCCAGAGGCAAGGAGGACTCCTCAAGCCCAAGAGTTTGAGACCATTGGGGCAACAGAGACACGTTTAAAAAACAAACAAGCAAAAAACAACCAAAGACAAAGAAAAACCTGATGAGCTTGCTTCCTTGAAAATTTGTGACAGGAATATGGACAGTGGGCATAGATTCACCTGATCCCTACTTTCCTCATTTCTAAAGCATGGCAGTAGTTCACATGAAGATTAGACGTGCTAATATATCTGCCTGTGGTACATATACAGAGCGTGTTATTGTTGACTTTGGGTCATGAGTCAACAAGTTTATATTCTGAAGAGATCAGTAAGCTGAAGCAAAATGCAGTGCTTGGGTTTGTGACCCAATTTATACGGCCGTCCACCTCCTTCAACATCTGTGTTTTAAGAGAACAGCTATTACTATTCATTGTGTACTCAGGTGAAATCCTAACTGCTGCCCACTGGAAGGATGGGTAGGGAGATCTAGTCAACACGGATCACGGAAGAGGAAAGTGCTTTTTTTTTCCTGCCTTGCTACACTCACATTCTTTCAAGAGCCATTTAGAAGGAAAACTGCTTTCCATCTTCTCACAGTAAATCAGATGGCTGAAGATCTCTTCATATTTTACTAAAATTTTCCCCTCCAAGAGTGTAGCTGTCTTGAAGGAAATAGCCAAGTACAGAGATTTGTTCACAGGGCATCTCATGTGTGACATGAGGCCACTGGAATTTTATTCAGTGTGTAATGAAGACTTTAGTTCTTAAAGAGACGAGAACACAGTCAAGGCTTGCGTGTGTATCCTGTCATTGGCATCCAGTGTTGGTGTAACCTAAGAAATCACAGCACCTCCCTGAGCCCCCATCCTTGTGAAATGGGTATGAAAGGCCCACTTCCAGGCCTTTGGAAGGAGCAGCAGTGCCTGACAAGTAATAACCCCTCCATCAGTGGTTATTAGGGCTGGGAGAGGACAGCCGCATCTGGGGAGCTGGGTCTCACTTATTCTGATGATGGCATCAGACAGTTAATTCCAGCTTTGTTCTGTACACAAATCTCTGCTGACATTTGAAAGACAGGAACATGAAAGAGGACTGAGTTCAGTCTATAACATTTCTCGAGGATGACCTGGAGTCCAGGGTCTGCGTCTTATCACAGGCCTCTGCAATTCAGAACCAGGAGACAAGGGGTCCTGCCCGCCTGACTGGGTCACACAGTCAGGACAAGAGTGAGCAGAGATGCCAAGGAGGTGGCCATTCCCTGCTGTGACTCGTGAATGGTGATCACCTGCCAGAGGTTCGTGTAGCCTCAGGTGTCAGCCACATCATCTTCATTCTTTTGCCCTTTCATTTGGGTCAGGGAGCAGCACTGCCTGGGAAGACCCCTGGGGCCAGGGAAAAGGATGGAATCTTACCTGTGAACGCCAGTTAAGTCCAGGGCTCATTTCTGCACTCCCAATGCTAGACTTTTCAAGGAGTGGAAGGAAGATGGGCCTTGAGGGAGGTTCTTTGTTACACGGCTGGAAGTTTGTAGCAGTTAGCTGGTTCCCATCTTTCTGGCATCTCTACTCTCCTGACGGTATTAGCTCTGGTGTTCCTGTAGCGGCCAGAAAACCCGGCCTGTAGCGGCCAGAAAACCCGGCCGTCTAGATCACCGGATTCAAGCCCTGCCCTTCCTGGCAGGTGCCTCCTCCCCACCCCTGCTGCACCACCATGGAGCCAAAGCTCATCCGGGTCAGCCACTTCCTTGGCTGACCAGGCTCACTTCCGGGGGAGGGGACTGGTGATAGCGCCAACCATGCCTGTGCTCCCCAGCAGCAAAATCTGCAAGGACATTTCCAGGCACCTCAAGCGAGTCACTCCTCTGAGGAAACGATGCATTAAAATAGATGTAACACATGTATTTATTACCCCCCAACTGAGAAAATTCTTTGCCACTGGGTAGAACCAAATCTGACAAGAAACCCTATGAGATTTTATTAGTACCATTATTGTTTTCTTTGGCTTCATGTATTACATTGGTAAAATGACAAAGGAAAATTGTAAAAGGCAAATATTTTGTACAAAAATACAAAGTTTTAAAAGCTCTTTAAGTATATTTCATATTACTAAGAGTTGGCCTATATATCTGTATGTCTGTATAGTTTTCCTATATTTGGGATTTTGGAAATGTTAAGGTACTGTTTACACAGTGTATGTTTAAATTCTTCCCATAGCTCAACCACCAACGGCGGTCTTTTTCTGATTGGAGCATTTCATACTTTGGAAGATTTAATTTGTGTAATTGCACAGTTATTGGCTGAGAAAAATCTATGCGTTTCAGTCCATCTGCACACTGAAAATCAACATGTCGTGCTGGGGGAGCACCCGGGTCCCCAAGTCCTTGGGTAATGGCAAACAAACAGTAGCTGTCGATTTTTTTCAGTAATTGTTTGCAGTGCCTTTCCCCCCAGTGTGGTGAGACGCTGATGCAGTCCAAGGGTGGGGGGGTCTTTTACCCTGGAGAAGCTGTGTGGAAATTTGTTCACGTCATTACAGCCCGGTCCATCATAATGCCAGCGATGGTCCTAGAAGAGACACATCAGGACGGGGGTTAGCTCTGCTTGAAGAATGAAGTTAATGTACAATTCAAATCAAAGGAAAAATCTTTAGGAATGAAACACATCATTCAACCGTGTTTACTTTTTCACAGAAATGTCTAAAGTTCTTGAACTAGGTAAAAGCTAAATTTCATTTTGAAGGATTGATTACTCTGGGTGAGCCGAGCCCCTACTGTAATCCCACGCGGCCACACAAGGGACCTCTGGATCATACGTCGCTTTCTGTCAGTCACTGTGTAGACTTCGCTTCTTCCATCCCTACACCCTTTTAAGTTCACATCTAAAACTGATGGAGTCAGAAGCGGGCACAGACTATCTTCTTCCATTGTTAGTACAGTGTCTGGTTTGTTGTGATGCCTCACGAATGCGTGTGGAATCGTGTGTGGCCGTCTGAGTTGGCTGTGTTCAGCTATCCATGTGAAAGGTGAAGCGCTGGGCTCCCTGTCTTACGGAAGTTAACGAAGTTATTGGCCCGCGTGGCTAGGCCAACGTTTACTGAGGACTTCTGTGCACCTGGGACATCTATTAAACACTCGTAACAACCCCAGGAAGAAGGCACCGGTCCTCCTCCCAGCTATCCCCACGAACAGGACACAATCTCAGAGTTTCCGCTTAAATCCTATCAACCGCTTACCTGTCTCCCTGTCTTTTTCGCAAATGAAGTTGTTGATGTCTTCGCACTGGAAATCGTTCCACTGCCCGGCATAGATCAACCCTGCACAGTCCTCTCCAGGCCCGTGGCCGTGACCCCAGTTATCTGGCTGTCCAGCTTTCCAATTCCTTTTAATGGAACAGAAAAGGAGTGTTATTTGCAAGTAATGTCAACATTTCCTTTATTGGTGAGAAGCAGAGGAATGTAAAAATCAAAACTGAGGCATATCCTCTGTCCTGGAACGAACACGTGCTATTTAAAACTCTTACTCCGAATAAGAAGCAGCTGTTTGTAGAGAAAGGCAGCACATCCCTGTAACTCACCGAGTGTCTGCATCACCGTGCCCAGGGAGTGGTATTCTTTGGACCCAGTTAGATGAATGTCTTTCTACTGCGTCCTGGACCGCTGGCTGCTGGGCACGTGTGTGTGTACAGTTGTGCGGAAATACGCACTATGAGGGTACCTCGCACATGTGCACGTACTCTTGGCAGAACCCACAGACATCTCTTCATTGCAGTGTCTTGTCTCAAGAGAGACCCTTGATTCACATTTGAAGACTCTACAATTATAAACAACTAGCGATGGTTCTCTGGCTAAGGTGGAGATGGCCGGTTACTTGAGGAAAAAAAAAGTCATTTAACCTTACTGAAAGTGACTCGTACGTGTCACTGCTCTTTCTGGGAGACTCTTAAAACAAGTTTTCTGTAGGATGAGTTCACCTGGAGTTCACGATTCTTGACTGTTTTGCTGCAGTTCAGGAGATGGGCCGCTGGACCCCATCCTCACAGCAAACGTGTGTTTTGGGATTTCAAATAGTGGCTTCAACTACTTAGAAAATAACTGATGGTGAAAATGATGGAATTTACTGAAAGTACCCACACTGCAATAAAACCCGACTAATGAGCTCTTAATTTAGAAAACAAAAGACAAAAAAACAACTCGTACGTTAACATCTGCCTTAAAAACACAACGTGTGCATACTATAGGTCTCCACCACTGGTCTAGAGGAAACCATCAGATGGTCAGCATAAAACTGGGATGGCACTTAACAGGGAGAATGAGAAGACACACACAGACCGTACTGTGTGGCTGCTGCGTGCCAGGCTTAATCCAGGCCACGGCGACACAGCACAGGGGTGCACCATTTGCTAGTCTCACTTTCTCAGCTAACCAGCGTACGCTATAGATGTGGTTTCTCTGGATTTAGAAGGTCAGCTCGGCATTGTTCCCAGGTGTTTCCTTTAAAGTCATTTTAAATGAAGGCGATAAAAGGGACTTCTCACCTAGCCGATAACGAAGTGATAAGAGCACCTTTGTCCGTTTCTCCACTGGGTTTTCCCTGCCACTGGAATCCTTCCCATGGTTCTCAAAGCTTTCCTTTGGACTAAAAGTGGAACGCAGTTTTTGTGGGCTGGGAGGCAGGGCGCCTGAAGCCAGCCACAGGGTTAATTCTTTCTGTAGACTCTACACCCAAGGCCTCAGAGCATCTCTGAAAAACCTAGAACCCCAGCAAAGCTTGTCAGTGTGTGTGCTCATCACACGAAGAGCAGACAGAACCGGCCAAATGAACAGCTGTATAGGGGGAAGACTATCTGCCTACGTAGCGCCTTGCCTCACCACCTCCCAGGGGCTTCTGTCTTGCAAAGCCCCAGTCCCATGTCACAGAAGCGACAAGTGAGCGGCGCATGTACTGAGTGTACCAGGAGCCTTGGAAACACTTGCACTGAGAGCCCTGGGGAGCAAACCAGTGGGCACCGCACCTAGTGGGTGTGGAGCCCCGGAGGACTTGAGGGTCATCCTAGGGCAGGCAGAGCATATTTTCTCAACCTCAGGACCAGCTCCTTCCAACCTCACAACTCAGCACGCATATTTTCTCATCCACGGAGGCTAAAGTGGCCGAGAAACATCTACTAAGGCCTGGGTCAAAACAGGAAAATGACAGTGGTGAGAAAGTTTCTCCACAGGAAGATGTTCTCCCACTACTGAGTTTGGAAGATGCTTCTCTCAGGGCCTGACTGTGGCCACATGGGTAGAAAAGTCCCATGTGAGCCAGCTGGGTTACTACTGGATTGGAGCGTGCTGATGTCTTGTTCCCTTCTAAGGCCGTGTCCTGTAAAACACACAAGGAGTGACACGATATGGAGCCATTTGCAGGGACAGAAAAGCACCCATGTTGTATCTTTGTGATGTAAAGATAAAAGCTGTTGGGCTGCTGCTCACAACTTGACAGCATGATTTCCACTGGTGTCGTCTGTGGACAAGAGGAAGAGGAAATGTAGGTGTGTTCTGGGAAACCGTCAGGAAGATGTTGTCTCTGGTGATTTGAGGTGAGCAGCCATGAGCAGAGGGCGGGAGAGGCCTCTGCCCCGTGTCCTGCACACATATGGTTTGCCCAGCACAGCTGGCCTCTGTGCAGTGACCGCCAGCCAGAGGACACATCCCATGTGTTCTGTTTAGTGTGCCCTGCTTCACCGTTCTGTTTTCTGTCATTGCTTCCTGGTCTGTTTCTTTCCATGTACTTAATTGCACATGCGTAGGGTGCTCAAGGTTAGACCCAGGGCGTTCCACATACTTTCTGCTTGGGGATTGATTTGCTCTTTTTTTCTACCCTTGTGTCATGGATGCTTACCTCGATCATTAATTTGCAACCTTTAAAAACTATTTCTAATACATGTACTTTAAAGTTATAAATGTCCCTCTAAACAATGTTTTAGGGAGGGGATTTAGCTCAGTGGTTCCACCACCTCCCTCACATGTGCAAGGACCGCGGGTTTGATTCCCTGTACCAAAGGGGGGGAAAAAAAATTGGTTGAGGTAAAGTTTTAGCTGTACCCCTTAACTTTTTGACATGTTGTATTTTCATTTTAATTTATTTTTTGGTACTGGGGGTTGAACTCAGGACTTTGCACTTATGAGGCAGGTGCGGTGGCACTGAACAAAATCGCCAGCTCTGTATTTTTATTTTAAAAAAAAACATTTTGGGATTTTTTTTTTTTTTTTTTTTGGTTTCTCCGACTCATGATTTATTCTCATTTCTAAGTATTTGGAATTTTATAGTGTCTATTATTCTACTTAGTTTTAGCCAGGGTCATACACTTATAGAGATTTGCTTTATGGCCCAGGAGACATCCTATTTTGCTGAATGTACCATATGTACTTGAGACAGGTGGCAGAACCACTGAGCTAAATCCCCAGCCACCACGTGTATTTGAAAAAAATGCATATTTGCAATTGTCGGGTGAAATGTTCCAAAATAGCAATTCATTAAGTCGGTTGAGACTACTCCGTCCCTATTGACTCTTTTATCTTCTTGTTCTGTCGATAAATCTCTGAAGCTCTGGTCTCTGTTGTGTCCACATCTGGGGTTGGAATGTCCCCTTCAGTGTGACCTGGTCTTGGAAATCAGCCTCTTCCATGTGAATAGAGGAACATTTGTCACCCGTAGTGCTGCCCCACACCCCCAAAATATCCTACAGGCCAGCAGAGAGGCTGCTCCAGGATCATTCAGTGACAGTTATCACAGGAGTCTAAACCGACCCAAATCTGCCATCAGAGGCTGCTGCTGGCCAGGAATGGAGATGTCACAGGTCTGTGGTCAGGTAAGAAGCATAACTCTGTCTGTGTGTGTCTGTGTGTCTGTGTGTGTGTGTGTGTAAGATGGCCAGTTGTCTTTCCTTGGAAAAGACTGTATATGTTTTCAGTGCTCAGATTTGCTGGGAGGCTATGTTGTAAAAACTACGTCCTCTATCAGAAATTGAGTTTTGGCAGTCTCGGTCAACCTCCAGTGGTGAGTGCACTGATTTGGAGCCTGGCCCGGCACTGTCCCAAGCCTCTGCCGAGCAGGGCCTGTCCTGCTCTGCCCAGTGCAGCAGCGGTGTCAGGGCAGCGTTCAGGCTGTGCGCCCGATGCCCTTGGCACCTCTTCCATGTCGCTGCTGCTTTATTCCTTTCAACCAGGCACTGCATAAATTGTGAGGCCAAAAGGCACAGGAGGGCCCTGTTCAGTCCCCATTTGCAATGTAATGGTAACCACAAAGCCCTTAAACAATCTTGAAAGCACAAGTGGCGGGGGAGTCAGAGAAAAGCTGGCACTGACTTCTGTGGCGCAGGCCAGGATGGTGCCTGGGTCACTGACTTACAGTTTGGAAGAGTTTAAGAGGATTGGTATTAATCCTCCCCTGAGGGTTATTGTTTGGTAGATTCAGCTGTGAAGGCTTCTGGTCCTGAGAGGTTTTTGTTGAAAGGTTTTTGATGACTTCATTTGTTACTGGCTCGTTCAGTCTTTCTCGTCTTTGATTCAGTATTGGTAGGCTGTGTGATCCTAGAAATGTGTCCGTGCTAAAGTGCTGGACTTGCTGGCATATCGTTGTCCATAACAATCTCTATGACAGCCAGCTCAGAGATCACTGCTGGCGGGAGGAGAAAAGGTGCATGGTGCTTAGAGGCCTCAAAAACAAAGAGGAGGGTAAAGGTGGGTCTGTGTAGACGGTGAAATATTTGGGGAGATTTATACCAGTGGGAGACCCCCGAGAGCCAGAAGCTTGGTCTCCATTCCCAGGACACACAGAAAATGTCCTTGTCTTCTCCACAAAGCTGTTGTGAGGTCGGGCGTGGGGGTGCACGCCTGTAATCCCAGCACTCAGGAGGCTGAGGCAGGAGGATTGGTTGTGAGTTTGAGACCAGCCTGCGCTACATAGTGAGTTCCAGGTCAGTCTCAACTACATAGTGAGACCCTGTCTCAAAAACAAAACAAACAAAGCTGTTGTGACTTGAGTATCATGGTTGCTCCTTACCAAGGCTACTGGACAATATACAAATTCCAGGTAATAGTACCCTACATGATAGTCACTGTGATTACTAGCAGTGCTAGCCTTGTTTGCACGTAAGATTTCTTAAGAACCTCTCATGCGGAAAGCCCTGCACTAAATGCTACATATAAACATACACAATCTCACTGAACTTTCAAAATCCTGACACAGGTACTCATCAACTCCCAGTTCTCCATGGCAACGCGGAAGGTCTTGTAGCTCAGTGTGCATTCCCTGCCCTGACCGCACTGGTGCGCTCTGTAGTCTGCAGTATTTGTTTTTGGTACCGGGGATCAAACTCAGGACCTTGCTTGCAAGGCAGGTGGTGAAGCCACTGAGCTAAATCCCTGGCCTCTGTGCAGTGTTGATTACATATTCAAATTAAGTTGGCCTTCGGTTATTGAGACTGCCCACCAGGCTGCCCAGTCTCTTCTTGCTTCTGGAATTGGATCTGCAGATTTCTGCATGGTCGTGGACCCTAGGTGGGGAGAGTGCACCGTCTGTGCCGTGGCTGGGGACAGGTACCTGGTCAGGGTCTGGTCGGGGAATCTCCTCGGGGCCCACATGCCGAGGCTCGCACTTTTCCCCAAATCACATCCTTCTTGCTGGATCCTGAGAAGGAGCACATGTTCACCTTGGCAGAGCTGGTGAAGACGGCAACGTTCTGGCTCAGTCCATTCCACAAGGGCCAATCCGGTTTATTTTAGAGAAAGACTTACGGTTGAATTTCTTGGTCTAACCCAGATCTCCCTCCCTTTTTTTTTTTTTTTTT